TGCTGTTTGGGAACGCAGTCGTGTAAGACGATTATACAGAAATACTTCGACGACAGACTTTGCTCAGGCATTTCAGAACAACATATAGATGCTGTGAACGAGATCGGAGCGCTGCTAGTCAAGCAAAGTCGCATTACTTTTTTGATGCGCATGGAGGAATTTATTCGCAAAATGCATTTCCATCTCCTATTATTCGCATTAACCCTTTTTCGCACAAGTCAAAAACCACCTCAAGCGAGCATAACTTTTTTTTTACAAATTAAGGGATTTTTATTCGAAATTTGGCGTTTCCATCATTCGTTTCTTTTGCGAAACTTCAAAATGTGCATTAAAATAGGATGATGGAAACATCGAAACAAATGATTTGCTAAAGTTTCGAAGCTTCACGAAGCAGTGCTTCGAAAGCGGCCATACTACTAATTAGCTCATTTTTAGTGCTGTCAAATGATTAATCGCGATTAATCGCATCCAAAATAAAAGTTTTTGTTTACATAATATATGTGTGTGTACTGTGTATATTTATTATGTACTGTATATATATAATACACACACACACACATGCATGTATATATTTAAGAAACGCGTTATGTTTATATATTAAATATATTTATAATATAATATAAATTATATGAATATAAATATATACATGTAAATATTTTCAAAATATATATTGTATGTGTGTGTATTTGTATATACATAATAAATATACACAGTACACACACATATAATATGTAAACAAAAACTTTTATTTTGGATGCGATTAATCGCGATTAATCGTTTGACGGCACTAAAAAAATTGCTTTAGTTAAACTAACATTTGTGCTTTATTTTTTTTAATTATTGCTTAAGAGTCTTGAACTTTCTTCTCTTGTGTTTTGCTGTACAGACGTGAATTTACTTTACCTCCAGCCTAGAGGCGTATTCCTTTTACTTTTTGGTCTTTTTGGCTTTTACAAGTTAAACTAACATTTGTGCTTTATTTTTTTTAATTATTGCTTAAGAGTGTTGAACTTTCTTCTCTTGTGTTTTGCTGTACAGACGTGAATTTACTTTACCTCCAGCCTAGAGGCGTATTCCTTTTACTTTTTGGTCTTTTTGGCTTTTACATTTACCAAAAATAGAACTTTTTATATTAAAAACAAACAAGCAAGCCCAGCCCAGATTTGAAAAGTAACGCAAAAGTAACGTAACGCATTACGTTCCATAAAAAGTAACTAAGTAACGTAATTAGTTACTTTTTTAGGAAGTAACGCAATATTGGAATGCATTACTTTTAAAAGTAACTTTCCCCAACACTGCTCACGCATCACCTGACCTGTCACTCACCCAGAGAGGCCAATCCCTGCGCGCCGCAGCTGGCCCCGCCCACCCCCGCACGGCACAGGTTCGGCCAGCATCGGCCAATCGTCTGCAAGCAGCGGTTACTGAAGCGACCGGGCAGCAGGCTGCAGGAAACCAAGGCGGGAAATCAGTGGTCATGTGATCAGCACTGACGGATTTAAAGAGATGGATCCTCACCACGGCTGTAGAGGAGCGATGTGCAGCATCGTGATGTTCCTGCATCCCGCACCCAGAGCCCAGATCACCTCCTGTCCCGCCGGATCCGACGCGCTCCTGAACACACCACAATCAGCTGTGTGAATTCTACCATTGATAACAAACCGTAATATGTGACCCTGGAGCACAAAAGCAGTCATAAGCAGCACAGGTATATTTGTAGCAATAGCCAACAATACATTGTATGGCTCATTAGAATATTAAGGATATTAGGATATTAAGGTAGTTATATTTCCTACCATAATCAAAACTGAATGTTTGATTAGTAATATGCATTGCTAAGAACTTCATTTGGACAACTTTAAAGATGATTTTCTCAATATTTAGATTTTTTTGCACCCTCAGATTCCAGATTTTCAAATATTGTCCGATCCTAACAAACCATACATCAATGGAAAGATTATTTATTCAGTTTATCTATTATAAATTATGACTGGTTTTGTGGTCCAGGATCACATATGTGCTGAAAAATACTGACGGTACAAAAGCCCTACATGCCTTACATGAGAAATATAACATAATTACTATTAAAATATTAATAAAGATGTAAATCAGACATGTACTGATTAAAAGTTAAACTAATTTATTTAAAATAAAATAAAATATATAAATATAAAAACAAATAAATAATGGGTATATTAAATAATTAAAGAATAAAATAAAAATAAAACACATAATGTAAGATTTAAATCATTTAAAATAAATTAAATGAAGCAATAAAAATGTAATAAATCATAATAAAGTACAATTTAAATAAATAGTTTAAATGAAAGACAATTAAAATAAAATAGTAAAAATTTATTAAAACAATGTAAAATGTAAATGATTAAAAATGAAAGCAATTAAAAAGAAACACTAAAAAAAATCATAATAATATAAAATTTAAATAAATTATTTAAATGAAAGACAATTAAAATAAAACACTCACTAAAACTCATAACAAAAAAAATTATGAAGTGAAAAGTATGTAAATGCATGTAGTTAAATTGTCAATGTGCCTTTTCAATATTTATTTAATATTCACATCCGATTTATTCAAATATTCATCCTGTATGGAAATATAAGAAAGTGGAATTCATATTCAAATATTACATTAAAACTATCTGACAGGTAGTCATTTAAAGTTAAAAGAACAGATTTTTAAAAATGAATTAATTAAAAATAATGACTAAAAAACTGAATATGATGAATGAATAAATGAATAAAAATATAACAGTGTATGGATAATTCAACATGAATATTTATAAAAATGTATTATATATATATATAAATATATAAAAGAAAAAATATGGCATCTAAAGAAAAGCATCTGCAATATTTTGATGATAATGTAATATCTAATATTTATTTATGAATAGCAGTTTATGTCACCTGTATGTGAGCGACTGCAGTGCGCGACAGTGACAGCTGACGAGCCACAGCGATCTGTCCGTCAGTATGTTGGGACAATGAGAGATGCTCAGAGCGACGAGACTCCGCCCTGCTGCCTTTAGCACCGCCTCCAGCCCCGCCTCCAGCCCGCCCCTCAACACAGAGAGACCAAAACACTCTTCACTAAAGCACTTCTTACTGGCCGTCATGTTTAAGAATTCACAAGCTCTGCGCTCAGAGTGAGAAATGTGTGTGTGTGAGAGTGTGTGTGTGTGTGTGTGTGAGTGTCTGTGTGTGTGTGTGTCTGTGTGTGTGTGAGAGCGTGAGAGTGTGTGTGTGTGAGAGCGTGAGAGTGTGTGTGTGTGTGTGTCTGTGTGTGTGTGAGAGCGTGAGTGTGTGTGTGTTTTACCTGGTGCTACGCAAGTACTCGTCTTTGCTCTCCTTCTTGCCACGAGATCGAGGTTTGAGGTTGTGAAGAACGAGAGATTGAGTCTGACAGCACCACTGAGACAGAGTCATCAGGAACTACACACACACACACACACACACACACACACACACACGAGGTTAGGATGGCCTTTGCTCTACAGTGACCTCTAGAGATGGTTAGTTTTATTAGCTGAGGAAGCCATTTTGGCAAGGGTTGTTTGTGGCCTGCATGTGGAAATAATGAATGGAAATAAGCTTCTGAACAGGTAAGTGAACTGAGTTTCTATCTT